ATCTAAAAAGAAAGCAAAGAAAATGGCATTTTATTTGAGACCCCTAACATTCAAAATTTAAGATATAGGTACTATGTTCCTACAATGAAAGCTCATTGTCTCCCATATTCTCTCCCCATTTGTTTCTTCAAGTAGAGGATTTTGTGAACTTCAACAATTAGAAGTTATCCCAGTCTGGGCTGGAGTCATGGTAGGAGGGAATATGTCGGCTCTATTCCTTCTCTCCTATTTAATAAATTGAATCTGCGTTTGTAATGCCCATCTTGTCCGTGATAAAACTTTGATCTTCATTTACAACAGAGGAACTCTGAAAGCTGAATAACTAAAACTTTTCTGCCTGGCAAAGTCAAACCTGTGGGATTTTGTAGGTGTTTAACATAGTCGAAATCTGGATGGAGATGCCGGTTTCAGCTACTTCAAGAACGGCCATTGAGTTTCTCTGCCTTCCACAGCTGTAATTGGGAACATTGGCCTCCCCATCTGAAAGCAGGTCCAGCAAAACCTCTGAAGTCATTTGTGGATTGTAATAGTTTTCATAGATATTGTAACCCAAGGTGATGTTAGGTAAGAGATGGGGATCCTGGTTGATCTCCTCAGTTGCAAAAAGGAAAGACAGCACTTTCCAGTATTCTGAATTTGCTATCCTAGAAATATAAATGCATTAGAACCCAATCAATGAAAATAACATTTTATCTAACTTCTTTTTACAAAAATAATTCAAAGCTGCCTAAGTCCAGATGTTCCTCTAAATGGATTTCCTCATCCCTAAATCTATTAGCATAAAAACAAACAACCTATTCTTCAAAGGTCCTGAAGGCAGGACAAGAAGCAATGATGGAAACTAATCAAGGAGAGAATAAACCTAGAATTAAGGAGAAATTTCCTGAAAGAACAATTAATCAGTGGAACGACTTGCCTCCAGATGTTGTGGGTGCTCCATCAATGGAGGTTTTTAAGAAGAGATTAGACAACCATTTGTCTGAAATGGTATAGGGTCTCCTGCTTGAGCAGGGGGTTGGACTAGAAGACCTCCAAGGTCCCTTCCAACTCTGTTATTCTGTTATTCTAGTGAGGTAAATAGACAAAACAACAACCTATATTAACAATCACAGTTAGATCAATCTAAAAGGCACAATTCCAGGTTTTGGCAGAAGTTAGTTTCTGCAATTTTTAATCGTTAGAAATTTGACTTATTCTTCTATAGTAGACAGAATCATTAAATCATGGCAGAAGTTAGTTTCTGCAACTTTTAATAGAAATTTGATTTATTCTTCTATAGTAGACAGAATCATTAAATCATAAAATTGGAAAGAGTATTCACACCACAAACGTATATACTGTATACAGACAATGAGCAGCAGAGACTGTCAACAAAGCCCACATGTTATAATTTCTATACATGTTGAGATTTTGAAGCCTCTTAACTAGCAATTAAGCTTACATGGAAATCATTATAAGATTATGATTTTTTTCTTCCATTCACTCATGTCAAGTTTTTCAGAAGTAGGGCTAACCTTAATCTTAACCTCAAACTATCTCTCAAGATTAAGACACCTGCCATCATCTCAAAATAAGATAGAAGTATTAATGTAAGAGAAAATTAATCTTATTGTATATAATACAGATAGGGAAATTTGGAGAGAGGAGTTGCTCGGACATTACCCCTGAATTGTATCTGAAGAGGGATGAGAGGGAAGAAAGGAGAGGAGAGAGAAAAGAGTAAAGGAGGTGGGAAGGAAGTAGGAAAGTTGGAGGAGAAGAGGAGAAGTGGGGAGAAAGGGGAGGAGAGTGGTGAAGGAAAGAGAAGAGGAGAAGAAGAAGAGGGAAGTAGGGAAGAAAGAGAAGAAAGGGAGAAAGAAGGTAAAGAAGAAGGAGTGTGGATACAGTGAAAAGGGAAATGGGCGAGCAACACTAAAAGTCATGTGTATGTATTTATTTCATTTTATTAAAAGTATCTTATATATAAGAATGCAAAAAGAATGTATGTTAACATCTGATAAATATCACGGTATATGTATGGGGGAGAGTTTGGAAAAATTAAAAATTAAAAAAAAAATAAGACTCTGAGAGCTGTGGAAATTCAGATGTGGACTAAAAAAAAAAATTCCTTTCTGCAATTTCATTATATTATCAATGCCGTGCAATAAGATTCACTTACCGTGATGGCTGAGTTGAAGGAGTTGCATTGAATCTTAAGTGTTGAAACCTACCCCTGGTTGCAGGGATGACACCACCAATGAAAAGCTCTCCTGGCCTATAATGATTCTTTGGGTTCACCCCATCCCTATTCTGAGTCAGGAGGCATTTGGCTTGGCGTGTCCCACAAACTCCCTGGGGACAAAAGAACAGCACTAGAAGGAACAAAAGCAGCAACATGACTTGTGTTCCTGGTTGAGCTTCCTGCATTATACCTGCTTTGAACTGAAGCAGATGGAAAAATACCATAAAAAATATTTACTGAATTAGCAGAAGTTATGTGTTGCAAGCTTTAGACAAATACTAGGAACTGGCTGAGTGTGATGACCTGTGTGCAAGTCTGTTAAGAAACATATTACAAGAAGTGTCAACCGAAAGTCACAGATGGTGTAAGATAATATCCGTGTCTAGCAATGTGGTAAGATAACCAATTGTATGAACTTCTCCTTTTCTCCTTGTGTGAATGCTAGATATAAACTTCTCCCTTTTTGCTGTGTTAAAGGTAGATAAGAGTCACCCCTTGGGCAAAGCGTGGGTGAAAAGCTGTATAAAAGTGACGCCCTGGGTGTAGCCCGGGGGTTCAGAATTTGTCATGCGAATGCTCTGAACCTTTGCACAAATAAACCTGTTTCTCCAACCCTTCGTGGTCTTGTTTTCTGAGTAAGTATCAAGGATTTCTACTTCAGAACAACAGTCCACGGCAAGAGCTGGAAGAAAACAATGTCCTCTTCTGAGACAGAAGTCTCAGGAGCTTTCCATACCCAGACATTGTCCTCCCAGGTTTCACATGTTGAGAAGGGAGGACTAGATGCAGCTCACGAGTGCTCTAAAAGACCAACCCCACCAGCTCCCCCTTTCTCCGTCCAGACCCATTTATGAACCCATACATCCCAATGCCATGAGCTCAGTAACTAAAGCTTTAGTGTGTTGTATTGAGAGAAAAACAAGTTATTGACATCTTACTGTATGTCAACTCTTTTGAAATTGTACAGAATAATCTCCGGAGAGTTTGCAGCAAGAGAACAAATAAATCACTATGATTTTCTGGCAGAGGAGGCATACTGTGGGCCCATTGGCCAGGGAATTCCAGCTCGTGGGGTCCAGGAGAAGAGATTTTTCTGCCATTACACCTGCCCTTTGAACATCTTGCCCTCTGGAATGTGGTTGGCCTCCAATCCTCCTTACCTTCCCTAAGAGCTTAAAGACCTGGCTCTGCCAGTTAGCTTGGGGCTCCAATGGAGGGATTTCACATTGGGGGTGGTTGATAGATTACAACAGATCCCACTTCCTCCTCTTCTCATCATACTCCCTCCCCGCCATCTTTTTAACTAGATTGATTTTATAGTATTTTATTTATATTGTTATAAATTATATAGTATTATTTTTTTTAATATTGTAAGCCACCCTTGTTACTATGTGGCAAGGTGAGTGGCTAATAGAGAAAGAAAGAAAGAAAGAAAGAAAGAAAGAAAGAAAGAAAGAAAGAAAGAAAGAAAGAAAGAA